GATATTGAAAACAAAATTTTGTAATATATAAAGTGTAATTACAAATATATTATTTTATAATAAATACTGCATAAATAAATTGAGGTATGTACACCATTACCACCATAACTTTTAAAAATTTATTATATTAATATTTATGCTAACTTTATAATCTAATTAAAAAAAATTGCAAAATTAGATTTTTTTTATGTATGAAAAATGATAATGATTTTTTTAGCTTAAAGACATGGATTAAGGTAATGTGATTATGAATATAATAATATTAATACTAATATGAATCATAATATTAATAACAATACTATTAATATTAAGTTATAACAATAAATTAACAATAATGAAAATTTTTAATTTTTTTAGTTTTTTCAATTTTTTCCAATTCCATCCACTTCTTTTCAATTTTTCCTAATTTTTTTAATTTGTTCTAACATTCAGTTTTTTTCTTACACTCCGGGTGCAGTACTTAAGTTTGTACATTCCCAATATAGTTCATAATATCACTATCGTTTTTCACTTCAGTCAAGACAAAGTCAGTAAAGAATAATAACTAATAAGCAACTCTATTACGAGTATGAAAATTAATTAACGTATTTAGATATCAGAAATCACCCTACACGGCACTCTAACTCACCCTAAACTACGCATCTAGCACTACTTGTTTTTCTAAACAAATTTAGCACTTTTTTGTGTCAATCCTTTACTATCATGCCCTTTAACCTTTTTCCTTTTTCTCATTAAAAAATTACGCCACTCCTCTTGCCTAGCCGCACGTAGTATTACTCTCGCGCACGTACTCTTCATGGATCCTCAGGCCTTCTCCCACGATTTCTGCTCCGATCAACAGCGGCAATCATCAGGTTATCTTGAAATCAGTCATACATTTTTGGGCAATGTGAAATTCATAAATGAAAACAATCATATACATTTTTGGCAGTGTGGAATTCATACATGAAAATAGTGTGGAATTCATACATAAAAAGAGCTATACATTTTTTGGGCGGTGTGGAATTCATAGATGAAATTAGTCATACATTTTTTGACAGTGTAGAATTAATACGTGAAATCACTGCCACATAAATCAATGGACATTACACTACAACATGAAATTAAGGAACACAATAATACATTTACACATCGCCCTAAGATATAACAACATATATTCATTCTACACTGCCACATAAAAAACTCACATATAAAAAACTACACTGCCCACTACACAATTACGAGTGAACAACCACACTGCCCAAAATAATCATATTTTTTGGCAGTGAATAATGAACATATACTGTTTAATTAAAGGACAAAATCGGAATTACATGTATAAAACATATAGCACTGCTATTTAGAGTATTTTAATGTTCTTAGAGTGCTATTTTGGTTTTTCTCCCTTTAGATATTTTTATTTTGTCACGGTAGCATTATATACTTTGGTCGGTTCTTGTGTGTGTTTTACTGTTTAAGGAACCCAAAATACGGCAAGGAGGAACATGTTCTTTGCTACCTGCTGCTTCGTTCACCCGTAACTAATTTGCCGTCATATGTAATGCATTTGGCCAAATAGCGCCAGTACCCCTCGTGGTTTGCAAAATAGGCACCAAAACCTCCTCTGTTTTCAAAACTTATTTCTAAAGTCTTTGTAGTTTCAAAATGCTGCACCCGTGCCCCCTCTGATCATTTTCCGACCATTTTTCCGGCGAAGAAGGGGTTGCTGCATATTTACTAAACCACAAGGGGTATCGGTGCTGATATTTATTTCTCGATAATTTTTTGTTTTTTTCCATTTTTCCTTTATTTGTTTCTTTTATTAAAAAAGGTTTTTTTAAAATTATTTTTATAATGCTCATAAAATTTAAAGTTATTTTTGTTTAAAAAATAAACATATAATGTATATGTATTTCTCAAATCAACAATTTTTGTTTTTCTGAAAAAAGTAAACTTTTTTTTTGAGAATTTCAAAAAAATGACGAAGAAAATAAGAAACAAAATAATAGAAAAATAAAAATGAATATCTTTTTCGAACATCTCAATTCTAAGGACTTTTTTAGGTTTGTCCATTTTTTTGTATCAGACTTTTTTTGTGTATTTTTATTTTTCATTTTATTTTTCCATATTTTTATTTTTTTATTCTAGGTTTTTCTTTTTGAACTTTCCAAATAAGTACGTAACAAAAAGTTAAAATGTTTAATTTCGAATATATGCAATGTATGTAAATTTTTTATTTTTATTTTTATTTCAAACACACAAAATTTTAGAATTTTAAAACATTATAAAAAATTGAAAATAAATTATAAAAAAATATAGGAAAAGAAAAAAGAGATAGAAAATATTTAAAAAAATAAAAACACAAATAATAAACGAAAAATAAAAAATGAGCACGAATACCTCCTATGGTTTAAAAATTATGCGCAAATACCCCCTCATGGCCGGAAAATGATTAGAGGGGACACAGGTGCAGCATTTTGAAACCACGGGGACTTTAGAAATATGTTTTGAAAATAGAGGGGGTATTGGTGCAATTTTCCAAACCACAGGGGGCACCAGTGCTATTTGGCCTTCATACTTGTGAAAAAATTTGTAATACTTGATGCTCACTTCATCATAAAATAAATTCCTCATGTTTTTTTCTTAATGCTTAACTCATGTTCTCTTCACCTGATCAGTACTCCCTCCGTTCTAAAACTTTCTTCCCGTTACGTAATACGAAGAAAAATCCCAAGTTTTTTCAATCTATTTTATTTAAATATTGGTATAGAAATAAAAAATAAAACATACATATTTAAAAACTACATCAAAAGTTCAACAAAACAGGTGGTGACAAGAATATTTTATTTTACCATATAGGCCGTGAAAAAACACAAATAAATATAAATTCCCGTGAAATGGAATAGTGCTCTGGGAAGAAAATTTTAGGACGGAGGGAGTATTATTTTGATCTAATTGGAAGAATTTTTGATCTAATCTGAATGTAGTTATATTTAAAACTATTTCTGATCTGATTTCAATAAAACAATTTCTGTTCTAATCTGAATGACTTAATATTTAAGTCATGTTCTCTTCACCTGATCAGTATTATTCTGATGTAATTGGAAGAATTTTTGATCTAATCTGAATGTAGTTATATTTAAAACTATTTCTGATCTGATTTCAATAAAAAATAAAAATAATAAGCAATAATAATAACTTGAAGAGATCGAACATGACATTGGTTCTCAGGATGCAGAGTATGAATGGAGCTAACTCATTTCATTTCATATGGCATTTAAATTGGCGTGAATGTCTGTGTTTGCCGAACATGCCGGAAGTATTATTATGATTGTATTTTTTTTTAACTTTTCATTTAAGAAAATTAAAATTCTAACAGTGTTCTATACAATTCCAATTTTAAACATATTCTTTCAAGCACCGCCAGTTTTCAACGGCAATAGAATGGCTATTAAATTTTTTAATTTCTTTATCCTAATTTATGGTTTTTTAGTATTATTATTTTTATTTTCTATTTTCGGTCGATATTTTTTTATTTGGTATTGTAGTTTCTTTTAAACCTATGGAAAATTATCATGCTCTTATCGTGTTAATTGAATTTATCACTTTATGTTATTTTAAAACTAATTATAGAACACTAAAAATGTTTTATGCATAATGTAAATACTATTTTAAAAGTTTTATAATTAGTTTGAGTTAGTTATTTTAAACATGGTTGCAGTAAGTTGGCAAATTGATGTATGTATACTGCTTTTAGCTATATGAACAGTATGAAATTAATAAAACATGATATGGCGTTGACGTAAATGTCAGAGATAATGTAGTAAAAAATTATATACTATGAGTTATGCATACGACATATCCTCTACTCTTGACACCCGGAGCATAGAATAGTCATGTCGATCACCTCAGTTTTATACCGGGTAGAACTTTTTATACACTGATCTTTTCGTTTCGAAATTTAAGTATCGTGTTTCATATTCACACAATGTTAACAAGGACTTTGACTTGTCTATTTTACCATTGAAATGAAAGAGAGTGTATAAAAAGTGAATGAAAAAATATGAGAGAGAAATTAAAAGTGATTGAAATAAGAGAGTATGTAAAAGTAAATAAAAATACCAAAAAATATTTGAAAAAGTGAGAGCAATATAATACTCGGTATATATAGTGAGTAAGTTAGGCCAAATAAGGAAATAAGACTTTAATTTTGAAACATCAAATTTAGAAAATGGATCTTTAATTCTAGGACAAAGGAAATAGTTTTTAAATATTCATTCCGTCCCCAAACACACTTCAGTACGATAGGTGAACACTACTACCTTGCATTATTATTTTTAAATAGGAGTTAAAAATGCATTGAGAGTGTCAATCATGACCATATACATTATCAAAATGTATTATGAAATATCCATATACAATGTCACATTACCACAGTGCAAACTTCTAAAGATAAAACATAGATTGACACTGCATATGGATACTTTCGTTATGTTTTACTCTTATTTGAGATGATTCATTATCTTTTTATTAAAAATAGAAGTTTGCGTAATATAACATTGCATATGGACATCTCATAATACTTTTTTGTAATATATATGTTCATGATTGACACTGCATATGTATTTTAATTTTTTATTTCGAGAATAGTTATATAGAACTTCTATTTTGATATATATTTTCAATATTTTTTTCTTATTTTAGTTTTTTTTCTTTTGTAAGATTTTTTTTATTTAACTTTGAAAGGAATAATTTATATTTTTTTATTTTTATACCAATTTGTAATTAAAATAATTTTAAAAGTTCTGAATTTTACACATTATTAAGAAAAAATGGTATCCATGTGGGGATGGATGTAGTATTATTATGAATTTAATACTTACCCCATCCCAAGGAGTATTATTATGAATTTAATACTTACCCCATCCCAAAAATCTTTCTTAGGGGTCAATTTAAATTCTTTTTCTGTTACCTTTTTAATAATACCCCTAATTACTCAATTAGCACTTTTAGCAGAAGCGCATTATTCTTGTGGAGCTCCGCTCCCATATATTCCTCTCGTCTTCTTCTTCCACTACAAAACCACTGATCCCCCTCCGCAAAATCGGCACTCCATTTATATACTCCATTTGCTTTCTTTACGCAAACACTGACTTTGTTTTGTTCTCTCCTCCCTCACCAAGCAAAGCACTTACCTCTGCCCCTCTTTCTCTCTCTCTACTCCATTTTTTTTATATCTGAGATCCGGCCCTAAGATGGGCCTTAATACGGAGTATTTCTCTCAAGAAAATGGAATGTTAGGTTCCGAGAGTGATGATGATGATGATAGTGAACTAAAGTCGAGATCTTTGATTGGTAGAATGATTTGGGATTTTGGGTTGGCCTGTATCATCCCGCATCGACGGCGACGGAGCTCCGGCAAGGGTAAGGTCGGCGGGTTGAGCTCGTCGGAGCACAATAAGGCTTGGTTGCTCGCTCAGTCCGGCGGGTGTGGCCGATCCGAGACGAACAATGCCGAGCCTCAGTCGGTTCACTCCTCCTTCCGGCTCAGTCTCTGCTCTCAGGTGGAGCTTGAATCTATGAATGTCATGAATAGCCGCTCCCACACCACCGTCTTGATGGTGAATTTGGAAAACGGGTCGACTGATCCGGGCGGGTCGAGGGAGCTTAAATGGAGGAGATTTGAGTCTCTCGAGAGGAGCATTTCCCCAGTCGCCCATTCTTTACTTCGGTTTAGCTATCAAGAAATTGTGTCTGCCACTTCCAATTTCTCCAAAGGTGCCTTTGTTTCTTGAAAATTGTTTCAATTTATCCTTTATCCATAGAATTTGCTAGGGTTTAATGCATTTCATAGTTTTTGGAAACACAACTTTGAGCTTTTCGATGAATCAGTTCCTATTTGGACCAAACAAATCTGAAAAACTGAATCCAATCTGTTAGCTAGGTGTGTCATAAGCTCATAATCTCATATGCAACTCTCTGAATAGTATTTTGTTGGATTTTCTTGAATTTGAGCAGGTAGAGTTTTGGGAAGAGGAGCAATGAGCTATGTATTTAGAGGAAGAATCTGGTATCTGAAAGCTGCACTGGCGATTAAGCGGTTGGACATGGAAGATAAGGAGACACCAAAGGCATTTTGTAGGGAACTAATGATTGCCAGCTCTCTACACAACCCTCACATTGTTCCTCTTGTGGGCTTTTGCATTGATGCAGAAGCTGGTTTGTTTCTGGTTTACAAGTATGTCTCCGGTGGAGACTTGGACTGTTATTTGCACGGTAACAGAGATTCCCTTTTGCGAGCCCTAAGAATTTCGAATCTCGTTTTCTTTTCGGAGTTATAAGAAGTTCTCTGATCTTCCTTGCAGAGAAGAGGGGAGCGAGTGGTAGTCCGGCTCTTCATTGGTCAGCTAGGTACAAAGTTGCTCTTGGCATTGCAGAAGCCATTGGCTATTTGCATAACGGAACCGAAAGATGCATTGTTCATAGGGACATCAAGCCTTCAAACATTCTTCTTTCTTCCAAGAAGATACCCAAGGTGAAGATTTAGTCCTGTTACAGTACAAAAACTTTTCCACCACAAGTTTGACCTTTTGGTTGAATGGGTTTCTCGACAACCACTAAATACTTTTTTTATATTGGTTGTCAAGAATTCGAGTAGCGACGTGACATGGAGAACAGGTCTTTAGTTGGATCTACTTGCTAACAGTTGTGTTTAGGCCAGCTAATTGTGTGAGCCATTAAATACTTTGTTTGATGAGATATGCAGTTATGTGACTTTGGATTAGCTACATGGACCCCTTCACCATCTGTGCCTTTCCTTTGCAAAACTGTGAAAGGGACGTTTGGGTAATGATCTGATTGTTTTTTTTCTTTTTTTTGCCATTCCCATTCAGTTAGCAATAAATACCATAAAAACAAATTGCAGGTATTTAGCTCCAGAGTATTTCCAGCATGGAAAAGTGTCAGATAGAACTGATGTCTATGCATTTGGAGTGGTCCTTTTGGAACTGATAACCGGACGGAAACCAATCGAAGGCAAACACGGAGGAGGAGGACCAGGGGAGGAGAATCTGGTCTTGTGGGTAGGTTTGAACAACTTTGTGTCTAACTTCTCTCAACCAAAAGATATTTAACCTTTCACATACTACATTATTTTCTTGGGTTAGCTTCTTTCGAGCTTCGACGCCAAAGGCGAGTGTCATAATATGACACCAGGTCCATTTGAGGACCCTACAGTGTTTCTATTTGCTTCTGAAGTGGTTCCTACCCCTCCTAACCCTCTGCAAACTCTTCTTAGCCCCCATAGCCCCATCTCCAGGAGCAGGCTGGGGGTTAGGAATGGTAAGAACCACTTTGAGGTCAAACGGAGCACTGTAGGGTCCTCAAATGGATCTGATGTTATAATATGACAACAATGTTAGGTGTCAAAACAGCCATAGTATATCTCAACGATGCACGAATGTGTATTTCTACAGGCAAAGCCGCTACTACAGCAAGGATCCATCGAAAAGCTAATCAACCCGAGGCTCAAAATCCCACAAAAGAAGGCGCGCGAGAAGGTGTCGCGAATGGCGCAAGCCGCGGCCGCTTGTGTAAACAACGACGAATCTCAGAGGCCCCACATTGATGCGATCATCGCCATTCTTAGAGGCTCAAAGCCTGGTAGCTTAGCCAGGAAGAAGTCTATGAACCTCACTGGTAATAATGGCTGCGTTTTCGAGTGCTGTCCCCAGCTGTTGCAGCAGAGTAAGAGCCAAATGAGGAGTCACTTTGAACTGGCTATGGTGGGAGTTCCTGAGTTTGAAGAAGAAAGTTTTTACTGTCACTGAGGAAGAAGGAGAAGAAGAAACTTCTTTGAATGGGTAAAAATGTAGTGTGTAAATAGAAAGAAAAGAGTAGCCTGTGGGGGAGTATGTGTACCTGGTTCATTTCCCAGCCTCAGTTTGTATTAATCAGTTAACAATATTTTTTGTTTGATTAAAGTTATCTCAAGTTCAATTTACTTCAAAATTGAAGGTGAAAATTTATGGAGTATATATAATTAAATTACGGAAGAATAAGTGACTTGATTAAATTATACTCCGTATATATTATGAATGAAAATATATCATAAAAATTAGAAAAAAATGATATAGAGATTTTTACTGAAATGAGGTTTAAACTTGGGATCTTTCGGTAAAAAAAGTCTTGATATCATATCAAGAAGGTAACTCAACCTAAAATTTGTAATTGAGCGTCTTTAAATTTTTTATGGAGCATATTCTAATTAACAAACCCCATATTAGATTTTAGGAGTAAAAGTGTACACAAAATATGTGCGTTTTCATTATGTGTTTTCATTGATTATGTGATAAAATATTCTTATCATCTAGTGTTTTATAGAATTTTTGAAATATTTTTTTAAATATATAACTTGTACTCACTCTGTCTTATACTCCCTATATTATTTCCAGTTTTTTTTACTTTAAAGGTCAATATTTTTCAACTTTAAATCTTTAATCATAAATAATGGAAAAATACATTAAGTTGTGATGTAAATTTTAATACTAACATATTAATTTTAAAATGCAGTTTTAAAAAATCACAATACATCTTTATATACAAATGTAAATATTAATGAACAAAATGTTTATTAGAAACCGGGAAAAGCCAATGTAAACGAAAGATATAAGACAAAATACAAATGATATATAGTTTTTACTTTATATGAATAAATAAATAAAATAAATTTAAATATTTAGAATTTTGTACTGTGATTTGAAGTGTGTAGTCAAATGTGTGAGGAAGAGAGTATATGAAATTGAATTTTTTTTGACGAATATGAATTGAAAGTTAGTTGGGAGTATGGACAAAAGATATGAAAAAGTGGAGCCATAACTAATAATCGAACTTAGGCGCGCATTAATTACACATTGTTTCGTTTTTTGTCTTATTTTGCCATGTGAGGATCAAATTACAGTAAATATCAATGTCATACTATAACACCTACTCTTTTTTTTTATCGAAATGGAGAGGTAACAACCTCAAAACTTCAAGAAAGGTTCCTCACAGTCATGCGCCTATGCCAATTATACCCTAGCTTATCCTCCTCTAGCAATTGACATGCACTATTCGGTAGTTACTCTAACTCTCTCCAAATCAACGCTCTGTCCTTTCCCATTCTGACAAGTAAGTCTGCGACTTTGTTCTGACCCCTTAGAATATGACAGATGGTAACATTCCAATCTTTTCCCATCCAACTCTGACATGCCTCAATCACTTCGCGTGTCGGACCTCTTGTAGTGTGTCTACCATGAATCCGTTCAACACACTCTAAAGAATCACATTGGACAATCATCTTTCGCAAACCTTTCTTCCATGCCCACCTTAGCCCCTGCAGCACAGCCCACGCTTCGGCAACATAACACTCGCTCTATTTGATCAACATATGATGTCTCATTTAATTTTTAATACGGAGTAATATATTTGGTTCAAAAAATTTAAAAGAAAAATAAAAAGGAAAATATTTTTTGATGTTTGGTTAGATAACTTTTTCGGCTATTCGATAAATTTTGTTTATTTATGCATTTTCATTGATTAATTGATAAAATAAAATATTTTTTATCACATATGTTTTGTAAAAAAATTTTATATATATTTTTATATGATGTCATTTATACAGAGTACTTTTTAATTTCTATACCAATTTATAACTAAAATGATTTTCAAAATGATGAGATTTTGCATATTGTTTAAAGTGTGTGTGGTATCCATTGTGGGACAGAAGAAATAAAATACTCCCTCCGTCATAAAACGTTTTTCCCATTTTTGTTTCAAGGTTTTACTAATTGTTTTTCAATTCAATTTATTTAATAAAAGGTATAAAATTAATATATATATATATATATATATATCTATATATATATATATATATATATATATATATTTAAAAACTACATAAAAATTATTAAAAATAAAAAGTGACAAAATTATATTATTTTATCAAGTAACTAAAAAGAATAGGCAAAGAAAATAATTACTCCCTCCGTCCCTAAATAAAGTTCCATTTTTGACTTTTTGAGGATTTAAGGGAGGGATATTTTGGTGTTGACTTTCCAAAAATACCCTTGATGTAATGTGTTAAAGTAAGATGTGATAGGTAGATTATTAGTAAAAAGGTATGATGTGATAGGTAGGGTATGAAAAAGTAAGGGGTAAAAGGGGTATTTTAAGGAAAAAGAGAAGTTTATTTAGGGACAAAGAAAAAATGAAAGAGGAACTTTATTTAGGGACGAAGGGAGTAAAATATAACTGTATGAATAATAACAACAAAGAACGTTTTAGGACAGAAAGAGTATCTAAAAAGAGGAGGTGGCATAGCATGACACCTAAGAAGGTAAGGAATATTTTGATTTGGATACTAGCAAAATCTTCGGGAGACAAGAAATTAACCACATTTCAAACGATTTACCACATGGAATGAAATAATTTACTTTGAATTTATTTTTTAAAAATACTCCGTATACAAGGGAGATGCCGACAAGGGTGCGACTCAATTGATTTTCACATGATCTCACGTTGATCGCTATCGAGAGTGGACTCACGTTGACAATTAACATTTTCCACCGCTCACCTAAGGTAAATTTGACCAAGATCGGATGAATACACCTTGACAATTTTGCATTTGATTAACATGGTAAAAAAAATAGCCTTCCTAAAATTGTGGTTGATTTTTTCTCTTCCAGTAGAAATTGTGGTTTAAAAAGTGGAAAAGAATTACTCCCTCCGTCCCCTAATTTTTGTCCACTTTTGAAACTGTTCATCTAAGCACTTTGACTAATCAAATTCTCTCAATGTGTAAGTCTAAATATAGTCATGATCTTGTTTGATTTGTCTTAACATATACTCCCTCCGTCCCAAAAAGAATGAGACAGTTTGACTTTTTAGAAAATTAAGGGAGGAATATTTCTGTATTGACTTTCCAAAAAAACTCTTGATGTGATGGGTAAAAATAGGATGTAATGGGTAGATTATTAGGAAAAAGGTATGATGTGATAGGTAGGGTATGAAAAAGTAAGGGGTAAAAGTGGTTTTTTAATACAAATGTAACAAACTTTACGGGACGCAGTTTTTTCTAAACGTAACAAACTTTTTGGAACGGAGGGAGTAGATATTAATATATAATTTCTATAATTTTTTAATATATAAATTACAAGATAAAATGGATTTAAAAAGTGCATTAGATGATGTGTAAAAATGAAAGTGGACAAATACTCTGGAAGTGAGGAAGTATTGACTAGCCATTAATGAAAATTGTGGTTCTCTTATTATTTTGGTTCTCTTATTATTGAATGTAGAGTGCTTATATCGTACTTTGACTTTATTTGTCTCTTTTGATAGTTGTACGTTCAACATTATTGCAAACTCTCTTGCTAACCGTTGTGAGTCAGATAGCGTTGGATAACGTTGTGGGAGGTAGGGGTGTAAATGAACCGAATCGAAGCGAATACCGATATATTTGAATTTGTATTTGTTTAATTTTTTCGAATATGAATCCGAACCCGAATATGAGACAAATTCAAAATACGATTTGAATAAGTATTTGATTAATATTCGAATAGATATTGAATCATAAACGAATATTTGAATAATCATACTATGTAATTTATATGATGGACCAACATCAATTTGTAATTTAACTTACGATACTCTTTATACTATACTATATTCCGTATATAAAAACATTAATACATCTGCATCTTACACAAATTATATTTTATAAAATATAACTATTAAAAATCATATGCTTTAGATTTTCGTGTTACGTTAATTTATTGAATTCTTAGTATTTTAAATATACTTTATACTATATTACTTTGCTTGACTTTTGATGTTGAAAACATGGTCTGTATATATATACATATATTCGAATATTCGAATATCATCCGAATCGAATATATCTCTATTTGTATTTGTATTTGATTAATATTCGAATCAAAAATAATATTTGAAATTGAATTTGTATTTGAATAACGTGAATTCGAATCATCATATTCG